TCCACTTTATTTGCTCAAGCACCGACATTGAGTAACAACTTGGAGCATCAACTTCAAGCGACGTGAGCTAACATCATCGAAATTAATGACAAAGCGTGGAGGTTGGTTACGAACCCTTGTCTTCCACTTGACCGACTCGATAACAAGAGTAGCACAGTTCAAAGGATCAATATACAACACAAGCTAGGAACGACACAGACTAGGATGTGTGGGGGTCGATTATGGATCCTCTGTTCCACTTATTGACTCGATAACAAGTACAAAGTAAAAGGGGAAGGGAAATTCCTTCTTCGAGGACTTTAGAAAAAATGCCCCATTTGAGGTCTTTAAACAACAACACGCAATCACCCCTTTTGGAGTCTTTTGCAAACAAAAACATTGCCTTGTTTTGAGGTCTTTGAACATAAAAAAACATCACCTCACTTGAGGACCTGAAACAGATTTCCCACCTAAAGTAGGGACTCCCAGTCATGCATATCTATTCCTACTTCTCATGGCAAGGAAAGCAGTAAATGATGCGGAAAATAAACCTGAATCAGTATAATACCAAACAAACAAGAGTTTGTAGCAAGCAAGCAAAAGCCTAATAAGTCTGAAAAACTTCGCACAAGCTAGACACAACAACAAAATCGTTAAAATATACATCAAAGCATCAATAAAGCACAAGGAGAATGTGTGTCAGATACATCCGCATACAGAACACATGCACAAAAATACACATCCATACCAAAAACACAAGCAGTGTATATATCTCATGAAATGAGAATTAAATTAAATCGTGTCAAAAGTGAACTTAAATCCACAAAGAAATGGAATAGCATGCATTTCAATCGAATAATCAAAGCATCAATTAAACGATTGAACGCGCTCTTGAAATCCCTTGCACAAGTAAACAAACATGTTAGAAATAACAAGGAACAAAACCGGAATTAAGTATCCGCATCACAATTCAATTCGGGATTAAATCATGAAGAAATATAATTTTAATGTGCATTGGAACCATAAAAGTAAACTCAAGGCATCAACTTATTACATACGAAACTATGCGAAAAGTAGGAAGAAAAACGATCTAAAATGGTATCGGTAGCCTCCAAAAGTACCAACAAGCTCAAATATACAACAACCGTGAATAAAATCACCCAGCTAGCACCACTTATCATTCCCGGGCAGCAACACCGTCAACACATGAACCGCGTGAAAATTTGGTCTGAAATCGACAAAATGTTACACAAATGTCATCCAAGTAACAAAACTAAGTATCTTAAGCATTAACCATCAAAGGAGTAGTGTCTTATGCTCAACTGACCGAATCCGGGCAGTAATGCGCGGTAACAAAGAAATGCTCGGAAAATTGTATCGAAAACGGTGAAACTAAATAGTAAAAGTCCATAAACGCACAACTATGCATGAACAAGCATCAAACATATTTCAAAAAGCAATTTGCATGGTATTTATAGTTTATGGGCAACAACATATACTTGGACCAGTATCGCACAAAAAAGAGTTCAAAAACTCATAAACGGATACAAAAGTGTTTACCGATTCAAGTATTATCGCTTAGAAACTACAAGCACTTTGCAAACAAATAAATCTGCATATTCCAAGCCACAAATAACACTAGTCAAGAGTTAATGAAATTTATCGGATTTGAAGTTTTTTATGTCAAAAAATGGAATTCATCCACAAATTGAATAGAAAATTGCCTTAATTCATGAAAACACAATTAACTCTAAACAAAATTCCACAATCAATATTAGATTTAAAATTCGGTATTAAAAAAGTATCATCGATTTACCGAATAAAATCAAGATTTATATCGATTGAAACATTATTCAACCAATTTCACACTTCAACATTATTAAAATTCAAGAATCAAGTGTTTTTCAATAATTCAATTCATAAGCAACTGAATTCTCACTTTGATTTAATCAACTCAAGAAAATAATTCAAGAAGTGGTAGAAAATTTGCCGAAAATTGATGTAAACTAGGTGATCAGAGAAGAAGAGATGTTGATGGCCGAAAAACACAGTTGGAAGCGAGGATGTGTCTCCAAAAAAGGAGCGATCGCATGAGGGAGGAACCGGCAGAGAGACTCGCGGCGAAGAGGAGGGAACCTCGACCGAAATGTCGCACGAAGAGGGATGGGAACAACCAGAGGTTTGGTGCACGGTCGGGAGTAGCGGTCACCGAGAGCGGAGCAAGGCATTTGAGGGAGGTGAGTTCACAGAAATCTGGTGAGGGAGAGTGAGACATTAAGTTCGGGTGAGTTTTGTTGATTTTCATTCTTGAGGATTTTGAAGAATATTTGAGAGAATTTGAGAGAGTTTTTTGGTTTTGATTTGGTGAGATGTGAAATTATGGGGGTGATTGTGTTTGAATTTTGAAATTTGAATATATATATATATATATATATATATATATATATATATATATATATATATATATATATATATATATATATATATATATATATATAGTTTGGCTCCAAAACTGAACTTTTGGTCTTATTTCATGTGTTGTTGATATCAAAACCCCAAGATCATAATAATCGGTGCAGAATCTAGACACATGACTTGAAACAAAGTTGTTGATGACAAAATTTGTAACACGACACTGAAAGAATCATTCCGTTACGATGAAAACCGAGCAAGTTATATCGCCCTGAACGGCAAGAAACGCATTGTAAAAATTCATAGTGCATATTTTCAGCTTATTTTGGGTATCCAATTCATCCTACAAATATCAAACAATGGTGGTAGGTACCTGTTGTACCCCAATTTTCCCCCTAATATCCCTTCATCATACCATGTTGATTCACTCACAACAAGATCACACTAGGATTCTTGGTTCCCCTCCCTACTTTGAGTTTTGCTCCTTTTGAGGGATTACCAAGCACCTTGACTTATGTTCCTTTTGTAATCATGAATATTATGTTGTTTTCTTCATTTAACTAATAGAATGCAATGTTTTTTTTTTGTTTTGCTTGTTATCCATGTGAAACAACCGGCGGAAAATCATCAAAACAATGAAGTCGCCATCGAACGTCTTTTATCCCACGTGTAGGGAAAGGTAAACATCGAGAAAACCTGAGAAGGGAGAAGTCACAGTCTTGCGAACGAGAGATCGGGTAAGGGAGTCTGTTACGCGAGGGGAAGGTATTAGCACCCCACACGCCCGTAGTACACTACGGTATCCACTCTTGTTATCTATCTTATGGGTGTGTGTGATCTATGTTTACTGTCTACTATACTACTGGAGGGAAAATGCATGCAAAAGAAAGGGGAAAAGAATGTAGGGAAAATAAAATTGCGCTCGCCTGGGCCCTACCCCAATGCCTACGTATCCTTTTTGAGGAATCAGAGCTATCGTAGTTCGGCTCACATGTTTTTGTTTGTTTTGTGTTTTTTATGGACAATGTTAATTCCGCCTTCTGCCGCAGCTCGACCTTTGGAGACTTATGCGTTGGCACATAACTAAATTAATCATGTCATTACCTGAAAAGGGTTTTAAAGAAAGGGTGCTCGAGCGCACAAAATGGTTTGAATTTGTTTTGTATTTTTGTTACCTTGAAAAAGGGTTTAAGTATGATTAGCATGTTTTTGATTTGCTAAGAAGAGAAGTTTTTGTTTTGAATGCAAGGATGCAAAAAGGGAAAGAAAAGAGTCTAAGGGGGACCAGCCTATTTCTAACCTAAATATTATCATACAATGGTAGCCCTATGTCAAGGATGAAAGGGGAAGTTTCTACCTACTGTTAGCATGCATGGTTTACAACCTAAGGTCTAACTTGCGTCCGAACGAAGCGAGCGCGTCCTAAGGGAACATGGTATGTACAGGGATAAAGCAAGCAAGATAGCAAAAAAGCACACCTAAAGAGATCCCGCCTAGGTTAGCATGCCAAAGAAAAGTCTAAAAAACTATCCTATAGGGAGCATGCAATGAGAGCGAAGTCGTGATCTCAATTGCTAAATTGAGTGACTCATCGATCAACAAGAAAGTAAAGAAAGCGATAAAGTCCTATAGGGAGCATGCACTGAGAGCGAAGTCGTGATCTCAATTGCTAAATTGAGTGACTCATCGATCGACAAGAAAGTAAACAAACACAAGCACAACACATATAACAAATGAAGTGCGGAATTCCTGCTACAGGTCTTTAAACAGCAACTTCGAGCGCACGCTCTTTATTTCCTACTTCTCATGGTATCTAGAAAGTGGTAAAATGCAGGAATAAGGAATAAAATAGAGTTGTAACGATACCAAACGGAGAAGGTCCGTTTCCTCTTCATAACCATGCAAGCCATAAGAAAACTCTACGGAAGCCTCCTTGAATTCCTTGATGAAAATTATGCTCTTAGCTAGCTTTGAAACTTCATGAAACTCCTCACTCAAGTATCTTTTTATTTCAAAATCCCACACAAAATTGGCATTAAAATCTACCAAAAACATGGATAAAATAACAACAAAAAGTTAATAAAAGAAGTAAAATTCTATTCTAATATTTTTTAATTTTTTATTATGTAACCAATTAAGAAGAAAAAAAATCATGTAGAAATATCACCCAAAATTATTAAGAAAAAATGAATAGAAAATACTCAGGGGTATAAGCTGAATTCAGGGGTGTAAAGCAGTTGAAATCTGGGCGCTAGGCCCAATCAAAAAATAGTCCGATAAAAAATTTGTTGGATTCTTTTCATGCTACAAAAAAATAATTCCCATGGGCCCAAAAGGTTGATGGTTCGGTCCATATCACCCCAAATTCAGTCCAACATGTTCATTATCATCTTTTTTTATTTACCAGAAAATTAATAAAAATAAAAAAAACATATAAAAATTGTAAATCAATATATCAGAAAAAAAGATTGAAGAGGGACACTTCAGCTTCTTGCCATCTTCATCTCTCTCATGGAGACGCCTCCGACGACCTCAACATAGTGTCGCCACCATTTTCCTTGCGATCGCTGCTGACTCTGAAACTTTGAACTCGTCTCTCTTCTTTGCAGACTCAGACGCGGTTCTTCTTCTTCTTATACAAATGATTTCGCCGCTCTTCCGCTTCAGCCGTCGTGACCTCTGCTTCTCACATTGTTCTGATTCGGTTTCGCTGTTCATCTTCTATCAGAACGATCTCCCTCGCGATGCTCCTCTCAGTCACGACTCCCTTCGTTTCCGCCTTACTCCGATTCTTTGATTTGATGCTCCGTCCCAGACTCTCAACACGTTGTTCAAAGATCCTTCTTTTTTAACTTTATCGTCTAACGGGTTTCAACGACCTACAACTGTCGTCATCTCAACAAAGATCATTGCGTATCTTCATTACGAATTCACGCTTCTTCGAATCGGATTCCTTCCGCCGGGAAAGATACTCACTCAACCTCGCCGTCTCAATCTGTCACCATTCTTCATCCTCATCACCATCTCATCTCGTCCCCCGTTTCAATTTCAATGCAGCAATTTCACGGATTCGAAGCATTTTGCGGATTTGACAAAAATCACAGAAGAGTGAATGAAATACTTTCCTACCGAATTAGCTCTGATGGCTCTTGTTTGGTGAAGAAAGAGACACTGATGCAAATTTCTGGTAATAAACTCAATCTCGTGCGTTCTTGATTATGTGATTTCTCCTCTGATTTCTTTTTGGTTTGCATTATGATGATGCATTGATGTTGAAACTGCAGATTGTTGATGTAATTGAACGAAGATGCGTGTTGAAGTGGTTGTTATGATGCATAGTGAAGTTGTTGTGGATACAGATAATTATGGAAAGATGTTATTCAGTGCGTGAGGTGAGGATGAGGGAGATTAATTTACAAGAAAGGTGAAGGTTAAAGATAAAGCTCTATGAGAAGAGTGGTTATGTGAAGGTTTCAGAGAGAATCAGAGTGAGGTTGTTAGTAGGGAAGAAAGGTAAGGTTGAGTGAAAGTGAAGAAGAGAGGGAGAGAATTCTGAAACTGGAAAAATGGAGAGTGATGTGTGGCTTCTCGTTTTTTTTCTGGTGAGTTTCCTCTCTATCTAATTTTCTGGCTTTTTTGGTTATGTTACTGTGTTGAGGAAAGTTTGTTAGAGTGTTGTTAGAAGATGGCTAGAGGCTGAATGAGGTTGGTTAGAAAGCGGTTACGGTAGTTAGGAAGTTAGGAGTTAGTTATTAAAACAAAAAATTGTTATGAGAACATCTGCTCTTCCGTAAAATGGTTGAGAGTTTTAGGAGGTTAGGGAACAGTTAGGGAATGAAATAATGGTTAAGAAATGGGAAATTCTGTTTTGGTTAACAGTTATAAAAGCTGTTAGAAAATCTGTTAGGAAATTGGTTGTTGAATTAACTGTTTTTTAATGTGGTTATGCAGTAAAGGGGCTGTTATGATGTTTGGATTGCCGCTTATGCTGAAACTGATATGGTATGCTTGGTTTTATGCAGGTTCAGTTGTGATTTTCAAGCATGGGATTTGGTGTTAGCAAGGGAGATAGTGGCATGGTAGAGTACCCTTTAGGCTCATTCCAAGGCTTGAAGAGAATGAAATTATGGCAGACGACAAAGAGTTTGAAGCATGGAGGCTTATCATGGAAGACTTTGAAGTATGAAGAGATAGGCTTTAGGATAGATATAAGAACTTCTTTTTGTAATTATTTTTGAGTTGTAATGTTTGTGACATGAGGTTACCTTGTAATGGTTTATGTAAAGGCAACGGTCTAATCTTGCAAGGTTCAAGTGAATGTAAACAATGGTTTCTAACTTGTACTTTAAACAAAATTGAATAAGAACCTTGGGTGAAAGTTTGATGAATGACGTATTTTTATAGTGATTTTGAATGGAATTGAATGACCATGAATGAATTTTGATGGAGCTTGCATAAGATTGAACGCAACTATGGGTGATATCCTCTGATGATACTCATATTTTTCTTTTCTCGTACAAGAACCAAGGATTATGTCACGTAGCTTAAGCAACATGTGCATCCCTTGATAGACGAAAGGTGATCTTAATACAAAATGTAATGCCTTCAACAAAACCCTTTGATGAAGATACAACCCTAACCTTGTGCCTTGGATACATGTTGATGAGGAAATGACTTGAGATGTAAAGAAGAGCCAAAATCCTAACTCAAAGCTTTCTTAATTGAAACATTGACAAAAACCCTAAGCACTCGATATTGAGAACATTTGATGAGGACGGAGAACCTTGTAGCTTAATGAATATAACCCTAACTTCGGACCTTGATCGTTGAAGAAACAATTTAAATTACCCTTGAACGTAGAAGAGAGCCTCAAAACCAGAGAGAAACCTTAATTCTTCAATATCTTTGATCCAAAAGACTGACCCTCGATGAAATCGGATGGAGAAGACCTTGTATCTTGATGTAGAGAAGAAGAGAATAACCTCGTAACTTAATGATAAATAAGTCCATGAAATAAAACCCTAGCCTCACACAAATGATTGATGGAGAGATCACTTGAAACAAGCTTGTGCGAAGATGAGAGCCTTGAAGCATACAACAATGTAATTCCTCGAAATCCCTGATCCCATGCCAAATTACTGACTAATGATGCATGATGTGTTAGATGACCTAATGAAGGTTATGTACATGAGAAAAGTGCGAGATGTGCAATCCAGATAAAAGCGAAAGGGGTAGGACAAATTTGGGGTATTACAGCTGCCCCTATTTAATCGTCTCAAACCTGAAAGTACGATTGGCACATGCCTTTCGAAAGTTCAAGGTTGAAGATGATTAAATATCAATGCCAAAAATTTGTCCTGAGAGAGAGAGAGTAGGTGTCTTCTTTATTTATGTGTTATCTGCTGGGGGGAAAGAAATTTATTTTTTTCAATGAAGAGACAGAGATTGGAATTGTAACGTGGCTTGATGCCAATACAAGACAAATGGTTGGTATGAAAAGACAGCGGACGAGATCTACGGGCGACCTGCGATCCTAAGGTGACGCACGAGAGTGATTTGATAGAAAACCTAGCCAAAGGGCGATCTCAGGTTCTAAGACAAAGTAAATGGAAAGAACCTAGCCAAGAGGCGATCTCAGGTTCGACGATAATTTGAGGGAAGAACCTAGCCAAGAGGCGATCTCAGGTTCGACGAAGGTTTGAGGGAAGAACCTAGCCAAGAGGCGATCTCAGGTTCGACGATGATTTGAGGGAAGAACCTAGCCAAGAGGCGATCTCAGGTTCGACAATGATTTGAGGGAAGAACCTAGCCAAGAGGCGATCTCAGGTTCGACGATGATTTGAGGGAAGAACCTAGCCAAGAGGCGATCTCAGGTTCGACGAAGGTTTGAGGGAAGAACCTAGCCAAGAGGCGATCTCAGGTTCGACGGTGATTTGAAGGAAGAACCTAGCCAAGAGGAGATCTCAGGTTCGACGGTGATTTGAAGGAAGCACCTAGCCAAGAGGAGATCTCAGGTTCGACGATGATTTGAAGGAAGAACCTAGCCAAGAGGCGATCTCAGGTTCGACGGTGATTTGAAGGAAGAACCTAGCCAAGAGGCGATCTCAGGTTCGACGAAGGTTTGAGGGAAGAACCTATCCAAGAGGCGATCTCAGGTTCGACGGTGATTTGAAGGAAGAATCTAGCCAAGAGGCGATCTCAGGTTCGACGATGAAAACATGGGTTACGACATGATGATTGTTTAGATAAACGACACAGACGAGCACCAAGAAAGGTTAAACACGAATGAGTGTTTGAATCAATACGGACGAGTATTGAAAGAAGATACGGACGAGTATCAAAGGTTAAACACGGACGAGTGTTTGAATCAATACGGACGAGTATTGAAAGAAGATACAGACGAGTATCAAAGGTTAAACACGGACGAGTGTTTGAATCAATATGGACGAGTATTGAAAGAAGATACGGACGAGTATCAAAGGTTAAACACGGACGAGTGTTTGAATCAATACGAACGAGTATTGAAAGAAGATACAGGCGAGTATCAAAAAGTTTAAACACGGACGAGTGTTTGAATCAATACGGACGAGTATTGAAAGAAGATACAGGCGAGCATCAAAAAGTTTAAACACGGACGAGTGTTTGAATCAATACGGATGAGTATTGAAAGAAGATACAAGTGAGTATCAAAAGTTTAAACACGGACAAGTGTTTGATTCAATACGGACGAGTATTGAAAGGAGATACGGACGAGTATCAAAAGTTAAACACGGACGAGTGTTTGAATCAATACCGACGAGTATTGAAAGAAGATACGGACGAGTATCAAAGGTTAAACACGGACGAGTGTTTGATTCAATACAGACGAGTATTGAAAGAAGATACAGGCGAGTATCAAAAGTTTAAACACGGACGAGTGTTTGAATCAATACGGACGAGTATTGAAAGAAGATACAGGCGAGTATCAAAAGGTTAAACACGGACGAGTGTTTGATTCAATATGGACGAGTATTGAAAGAAGATACGGACGAGTATCAAAAAGTTAAACACATACGAGTGTTTGAATCAATACGGACGAGTATTGAAAGAAGATACAGGCGAGTATCAAAAGTTTAAACACGGACGAGTGTTTGAATCAATACGGACGAGTATTGAAAGAAGATACGGACGAGTATCAAAGGTTAAACACGGACGAGTGTTTGAATCAATACAGACGAGTATTGAAAGAAGATACGGACGAGTATCAAAGGTTAAACACGGACGAGTATTTGAATCAATACGGACGAGTATTGAAAGAAGATACAGGTGAGTATCAAAAGTTTAAACACGGACGAGTGTTTGAATAACTGGCCCGGGTGGGTGTTTAGGAAACTTGACACATACGAGTGTTTAAGAATGGACACAGGCGAGTGTTTAGGGAACTGACTACCAGACAAGAACTGGGTTTAGAACGACAAAGTGTATTGATTTTGTTTGGCATTGAAAAGGTGAAGGTCATTGATTGGAGATTTTGGACATGATACACTCCTGTAGGGATGTATTGTTGTCCTTGAATAATCCAGGTCTTTTGTGTAAGGTACCTGATCTGGCTTATGCTTCATATGCATGTTTGAATTTTTTTTTTGCCGCAAAGATCCACTCTGATGGATCAGCTACGCGCTTTTGAGGATGCAATGTTATGTAATGATAACTATATGCAATGCGAAGAAATAAATTTCATGGGGATAAGAGTAGGCTTGCTGGGAACCATTGTTCATCACTGGGGATGCCAATATACATCGACGTCAGAAGCCTGCA